GCGGATTAGCTCGGACGTGCTCTCTTGGCTGCGCTTCACCCCTTGCTGCCTCTTCTGCCATTCTGTCCTCTCTTCGTTTTCTGCAGATTTCCCTTTCTATTCTATCTATGTCCGGATCAAAGGCAAGCTCAAAATCTGGGTCGAGTTGTCTTCGAGTGAGACGTCTGCTCATGCACTAAGAGAACTTGCAAAAATAAAAGTCCAGAAAAAGGCAGAAAAGGTGAATCGAAGTGAATAAAATGGCAGAGAGTAGGGAGAGACACTCGATAAAGTCCAGAACGATCCCGGAAAAGTCCAGGAAAATCGGAAAAAATCCAGAAAAATTCAGAAAAGTCTAGGAAATGTCCAGAATAACTCCGAAAAAGTCCAGGGAATTCTGAAAATGTCCAGAGAGGTCCCGAAAAATCCAGAACAAGTCCAGAAAAGTCTAGGAAAATACAAACATAAAAAATAATAAACAGAAAAATCAAGAAATAAAAGAAATAAGGAAAAATTGACTCAAGAGAAAAATAAAAATCACACAAACATACAAAGGAAAAATCCAGAACAAGTCCAGAAAAGTCCAGGAAAATACAAACAGCAAAAATAATAAACAGAAAAATCAAGAAATAAAATAAATAAGGAAAAATTGACTCAAGAGAAAAATAAAAATCACACAAACACACAAAGAAAAAGGAAGTGAACAAACACACAAAAAATCAAACCGAAAAAAATCAAAGACTCCAGAAAGACTAACGGAGAGTCAATCTATCCTAGCTATGGAAACCGTAAAAAGTCCCCGGCAACGGCGCCAAAAACTTGATCACTTGCGTGACGAGTCTTAAATTTGTAACCCGAAACACAACTAATCCGCAAGTATACGGATGCCGTAGTACGAGGGTCGAACACAAGGACTTAAACGGTTAAGCTAGGAGTCGATCAAAACTAGGAAAATGAAAGAAATAAAATTGGAGAATTGTTTTTTATGGGTTTTCAAAGTTGCAGAAAATTAAATGAAAGAAACTAAAATCAAAGACAATCACAATTCAAGAGAAGATGATCAATGGGGAAGGTTATGGGAATCGGGTTTCACCGAATCATGCAAGGATGCCGTAAGGAAATATTGGACCTAGATCATGCTTGTTCTAAAGTGAGGGATTCCAAGACTAAGGTCGGGTTCGGTTCCCTCAAACCGAAAACCTGCTATCCAAGAGAGTACTCTCTCCACTTTCGTGGCTTAGAGTAAAATCCCGAATGCATTAAATTCCCTTGTCACGATCCTAGATCGAATCGAACCGAATTTCTTCGCATTCAATCTCAACCCATTTCAATGAATGCACCAAGAATCAAAAATCCATGTCTCCATGAAATTCTCAATCATAAATTCTACCCAAGAGATTTTCATC